GCCGTGGCCAGCGTCCCACGGCCGACGGCCTGCGCATACCCGATGAGAATGGCAAGGAGAATCCGTTGCGTCGCTACGATCGCAAGACAATTGTACTGACGCTGCCCGAAGATCTGACCATCTTCGACATTGGACACTTTGGGGTCTGGTGCGAGGCGTTCACCGTCGACTTTGGCCATGTCCGCCTGCCGGAGGGCCTCAATGTGCCGCCCTCGCTCAAAATGCTGGGCATCAGTCCACAGGTAAAGAAGCCGTTAAATCAAATACTCAGCGAGCTGCAGCTCTAATGGCCGAGATGGCCCTAGGCACTCGCCAAGCATTTGAGGTGTGCGTGGAACTTATTTAAACATTTTATATCTTAATACTCGTATTTATTTGTACTCGTGCAACGTCTATTTAACAATAGCAATCGAGTTGCCTTTGAAATTACTAGACTCTAAGTGTGTGCATTTTTTATAAACTACAATTTCAATTCACGAATTTAATGTATACAAATATATATGTGCAGCACATTTTTATATACAATTACAAAATTGGTCGTCTTCTGTGTTTTGTTGAGTTTGAAAAAACTTTTGCTTTGTATTTCTGAATTGAGCGCCTATACAAAATGAAATGTGTGCAAATCTTTCTATTGGGTTTACCCTTCCTTAGCCCAGATACCCAGCCGCTCTCCCTAAACACCCAACACCTATACTCCGTCTCTCTCTCTCTCTCTCTCTCTCTCTCTTGCTCTCTCACACACACACAAACACACACACACAAACATATATACGAAATACACATACGTCAATCCCCTGAGCCATACTAATTTAACTCTCGTCGTATTCGTACCCTCCGTCAAAACTACAAACATTTTCATTTTGTATGAGCTTCATTAAACGTTTTAATCTGAATTTGAACTGTGATTTGTTTCAATAAAAAATTAATAAAAACAAAAAGCAAAATTTTTAAACGCAACAAAAACCGAAAAGAAAAAAAAAAAAAAAGACAGCAATTTGTACAAAAAATTTAATTTTGGCAAGCGCTAACCATTCATTCTTCTCCTAATCCTCATACTAATCCGAATCCACATCTGTTAATACCTCATGCCCGCTCACTCCACCACTCCACAAGTGCACTCATTTCATGATGCTCCAATTCCAATGCTTATCTGCAATACAATAGCAAAACTAATTCTCTTCCAGTCGAAGCTCAACTGCGAGGTGCTCTACGATGATCTGGCCTTCGAAGTACGCTGGGCCGTGGCCGGCGAGAGCATCGTTGTGCAGCTGGTCGCCAAGTTGGGTAAGTCTAAGTTGCCACCGCAGAACCAAATACGGAAACATTTTGCGGTTTTTCTTTATCCGCGAACTTGACACTCCCCCAAAAGGCCAAAGTGCCAAAGCAATTTAGCACATTGTAAACGATTTGAATTGCCGCATTAGCAGACCGACAGATCAATTCAAATTGATTGACAAATTCACTGCTCGAGGAGTGTCTAATGACTGGCCAAACAATTTAGAGTAAACTCTCTGGCTAATCTTTGCGTTTCGCATGATCGTGCTAATTAAACTTGATATTTCATCTCATTTGGCTAGTAGGATTGTACAATAGATAAATACGAATAATCTTCATAGGAAATCATCATCATCATAGCAATAAAACATGCGATTAAACTGCCTTTGCTGTATGAAAAAGGAAGTCATACAAGTTTTACGACTTCCTTATGTCTTATACAGGCTAAGAATATAATTTTTCTTTATTGCTCGATTGTTTTGAAACCATATACAAAATATTACATTTGTACTAGTGCATTGAGCTTTATACTTCTTTGCCCTTTAAAATTTATACTTTCTGGCAATATATTATTGGGTTGTTGTCTGGTCCCATTATCTTCAGCGTATCAAAATTAAAATGGGGTTCCTTTTTTTAACTCTTTTTCAAACTTAAATAAGAATCCCCATTATGAAATGCTCTTAAGAATATAATTTAGTCTTGTTGTTTATGTGGTTTGAAGTACATATATAAACCATGTATAAAGCATTTATATACTTCTTTCCAAATCTTCTAAGATACATATACATATCTTATAGCTGATATAAATACTTATTCGTTGGAAGTATGAAAAATGTTTTCAAATTTTCGACACTTTTGCTATACCTTTAAGATATCAACAAAACTCTAACTATAATATTGGAAGGCTTTACAGCAACAATTAGTTGAGCAGTGATCTTGTTTTCACTGGAAATATTTCAATGCTTCGATCGAAATTAAAGTAAAATATGGTTTGAATTCCAATGTCCAATGTCTTTGGTGTGCTGAAAGTAGGAATTAATAAATTATTCCGAATGAAATTCAGTTTAAAAAAAATTGTCACCTATACAAAGTCAATCTTCAGCATAAAAATTAAACAATATTCCCTGATGCTCATCATTGTCATTACCATTTGACTATCCATACAAATCAGCTCAGTTTTCGATCTAGATCAATGCATCAGGCCAGCCCTGAATGAAGATGAAGATCTTGACTAGCAAATAAATTGAGAGCAGTTCAACATTGATTCGATTTATGATGCTTTGACATTTTGCTTGAGCATAGTCAATAAAGGAGTCTCCGCACTTGTGTCCAAAGACAACAGCAACAACAACAACAACAACAATTCCAGTTAGCAGTCAAATTGACCGATCAGCGACAGCATCGTTAGTAGAATAACAAGTTGCAAAATATGACGACTGGTTTATTGCGCAACCAACGCACAGAGCACTAAGCACTGGGCACAGAGAACAGAGCACGAAGCACGGAACATGAAGCATGAAGCATGGGGCAATTAATAGCCATGGCTATTGGATGCTACCATTGCCGATGGCGCGCATCTGCATTCAGCACTCAGCACTCTGCAGTCTGCACTTGGCACTCGGTAAACACAATCTTGGTGCATGACCATCTACGAGTGAATATTTCTTTAGTGGCACGCGTTGGATGCTGCGACGATGTTATGATGCTACTGGTCTTGAGCCTTGCGTGTGGCAGTAGCTGCGATTGGCAATTTGGAACCGCTAAGAATGCCAACTGGGAATTTTCACCTGGAATCTGAATCTGAAAACCGGTCCCTGGTGCGCTGCTTGGCTAGGCACCCATTTAGGAACATGTTGTGTTGGCCCCCAGAAATGGGGCGAGCAACTTTCATTGATTGCGATCCCAATAGCAATACATTTCTGAGATAGCTACTACCATTTTCAATTCTTCGCAGAACCCAACAATTACATGGCCTTTGGCATCTCGCCGAACAAGAACATAAGCCAGATGATTGGAGCTGATGCCGCTGTGGCGTGGGTGGATCCCGAAACTGGCAACGGCTTTGCCCAAGACTATTTCCTGGAGGGCAAGTCTCAGTGCTCAGGTGGTCGAGGCGCCTGTCCGGACATTAAAATAGTACCCAACACCAACTCAGTCCGTCTACTGAATGCGGCCATGGTGAATGGCTACTCCATTGTCACCTATCAGCGCTCGCTGTCTGCGACAGATAACTTGGATTTGCCGATATCAGTGAGCGAAGCGGAGTCTGTTGTGTGGGCGATCGGACCCTTGAACGATTTCAGGGAGGTCTCCTTCCATACGTACTATAACAAGCATTTGCATCCGATTGAGTTTGGGCGCCAGCCCAAATGGAACTGCCCCCTGCCAGAGGGCGCTAAACCGGGAAGCAGCAGCAGCTCAGCCGAACAAGAGGAAGAAGTTACTCAGATTAGCTCCACTGGCGGGGCAGGTTATCCGCCTGCGGGTCGTCCCAGCATTGAGCCTGACGAGGAGTTCTATGAGAATAGCCCACAAGCCCTGAAGCGCACAACACCCGCTCAAGCGCCACAAAGGCGCCAAGAGACGCTATCCACGCAACGTCGACCGGTACCCACACCCCGACCTGTAAGCAGTAATGGGGCCTGGGATATTCCGGCCATACAATGCCATGAGCCAGAGGACGGTGTCTTCTATGCCCAAATGGGTCCGACAGGTGGCAAGCATGGTTATCCTGCTATAACCGGTGAGCATTGCTGAAGAGGCCCATCTTTTTCTTTGAGCTACGGATTTCCTCCATTTTTATAGGTCACGTGGGCTGGGGTATCTCCTGGTACATCAACGGTTTGCTGATTCCCGAGATCCATGTGGTTAGAGGAAAGACCTACACTTTTGTTGTGGAGGGCGGTAACAATCCGGACATACCCGCCAAGTACCATCCGTTCTACATTAGCGATGATCCAGTAGGCGGCTATGAGCACAAGCGAGAGGAAGAAAAGAAGGTAAAGGCATTAAAGACATTCCAAATTCCAATACATTCCGTATAACATGTTCCTATGTTCCAGGCCGTACGCATCTTTGCTGGTGTGCACCGATCCAGATCTGGTCAGGTGACTCCTACTGGCGTAGGACGTTTGTGCAACTGGACACCCGACGTTGATGGACCGCCAGCGGATGATTATCAGAGTTTTGGAGCGTATCAGCGCACCTTGACATTGAAATGCGATGCTGGCGAGCCGGGAGTGATCAGCTGGACGCCGGATAGGAATACGCCGGATACCGTTTACTATCACTGCTTCACGCATCGTTATCTGGGTTGGAAGATACACGTGCATGACTCATGCGACAGCTTTGGTGATGGTTTAGGCGCTGCCTCAGAGCGGCACGAGTTACGGCAGGCGGCACCCGTCCGGGAAGACTATGCTGCTGAGTCATCGATTCGTCACGAAACAAAGGTCAGCCCCAACGATAATTTTTTATTGAAGCACCAAACCGATTTGATTAAGAATCACAATATGAATGGAACACCGCCTAAACTGAGTTTTGAAATAACGAAATCTTCGGAAATAACCAAACTGATTTCAGATGGGATCCGCGCTGCTGAGGCTCTCGAGGAGAGCCTATTGAGGAACCAATCCATCATCTCCGCACCACCGACACAGTTAAGAGATAACAACAGCAACAACAACAACATCGATAATATTGGCTCTAGAATACCATCGAAACCAATGCTGGCCCCAGCCAGACCGGAGATTTTGCATGGCGAAACTCATTCATTGAAACCATCATCCTCATCCACAGCATCGGTTCATTCAAAGCTTCCCATTTTCGCAGCACCGCAATCACCGCCTGTCATTGTTAACTCTCATTCGCATCAGCGTTTACAATATCCGCATCTGCACCACGCACACCATCCATTTCCACATCCACACCATTTTCACGCTCATACTGCACAGCAACTGCATCACAATCTAACTAGTAATCTTCCAGCGCTGGCGCAAAAAACAATTAGCCTATCCGAATATCTGCGTCCCCCACAAAATGCTCCGCTCTTCCATCCCGTCAAGTTGCCCGGACGTCGACCCTTTCCCGGCCCCATCAAGAAGGTGCCTGCCTCTAGACCAGTGTTGCCGCAACAGCATCCGCCGCCTGGTGGACTGCTTCCACAGTCATCGTTGATTGTTAACCACTATCGGAAGCCCGTACCCAGCCTGCTGAAGTCCTTCCTTAAGGAGAAACACTTTCCCATACAGCCGATAGCTGCTTCGGTCTTGTTATTAGGTCAGCCAACGGAGCTCAGCGGCATTGGACAAAGAAAACCCGATGCCGCAGAGCGTGCCAAAATCAAAGCGAAGCCCGTTATCCCGTTGCCCGTACCGTATGTAGACCTAGAGCCTCAGGCTTCGCTCAAGACCACTTCATACTTTAAGTCAAACAACAATGTGGAGCAGCCAGTTTTAAGCAGCACAACAACGACAATAGTGCCAATTATTAAACATCCGATCCCGGATGAGCCATCGCCCCAACAAATTGCCAGCATGCGTCCGGCAGTTAATCAAGGATTTAAGCCAGACTCCGTTGTGGTTGAGAGCGGCTTCCGTCCGATTGTGCGTAAGGATGGCAATGGCGTAAGGCTTCCGCCGGAGTTGATTGACCAGGTAGCTCATAGGCGCGAAGATCCAGGCTCTGAAATCGACGAAGTTATGGAAACAGACACGCTTTTCCTAACCGCACAAAGTGGCACCGAGACCCAGAGCTTTGAGCCCATGTTTATACCATCTCCCTTGGACAGCACCAATGCAACAATGCTAGCATTGAGTACTAAGGAAGAAGTCATTGAGCCTGTCCCAGAGGTTCCATCTCCACTGAGATTACCCTCAGTGGCAATCAAGCACACACTCCCAGCGGCGGCTGAACTTAGAAAGCCATCGCTTGAGGAGCTATTTCTTAACGGTGACGAGGATGAGGCGCAAAGTGAAGCAAAGGGACAAGATGAACGTTTGACTGCAACAAATCAGCCAAATGTAATTGAAAAAGACCAAAACTCTTCAGAAACAGCAATTGCAGCCGATGAGGATATGGACTATGATGACATAGGTAGTCTATTCGAACCATCGGCGGAAGAGGAACACCATATGCAGGACCGTTTAGATGAGGATCTGGAAATGGATCCAGACGAAAAGATAGCTGAAGCAGCCGAACGCATTGATACATACTACTTGCCACCTGACAACCGGAAGGTACCCCAATCTGGAGTTCCCAGCGGTGCCGTTTACACCTTTGATGGTAAATCTGTAGTGGACTCCACTTTGGTGTTGCCCCCGAAACTGGACGGTCGCGACAGCGGACACTCGCGTCACACGCATTACGGTCTAACCCCATTGGAGAAGCTAATACGTACCACTCCACAGTTTGGTGCCTACCGCGGGGAACTGCCAGAAGATTTCCTCTCGACCACTCAGGCAGGTGTGCAGCCGGATCATACGAATCCAGTGCGTTTAAGTAGCAGCAGCACCGACAGCACCCTTCATTCACATTCATCGCCATCACTAACATCGTCATCGCGGCCCATTTCGACCAAGTTGCACTTGCTCAAGCCCAACATAAATGAAAATAGCACGTAAACAGTGAGTTAGAAAGAGGCAGAGAGAGAGTTGGCAGCACAGGTGCGCAATAGTTTAATTCATTGATTAGATAAGCATTTACAACTGCAAGCAGTTAGCAATTGAATTTGTATTCATAACCACATACATATACCACAACAAATACCGTATTAGATGTAGTCACCTCTTGATATGTGTTTAAATATTATGATGCTCTTAATTTTAATAAAACAACAATTTTACATACACAATTAGCTAAGCTATAATCTATGTTTAATATGCATTTTAGTCGTTGTCTATGAAGTACATTTTATTAAAATATACTTTGAATCGATGAATGTTCACTTATTTATTTTTTACATTTAATAGACGTTTACATGGTTCGTTAAAATATTTGAACCGAAATGCACAGAAAATATGCTTACAGGTAAATTTATCGAAATGCTTATCGTATTGTTGCTTATCGAAACTTGGTCTGAAAACTGTTATTGCACTGTTATCTAAAACAATAAAATAAAACTGGTGTATTACAAAAATCTAAGTCAAGAGACCGTTTAATTTATATATAAAAAAAAAACAGTAAATATATTTTTAAATGCTTCAAAATATAGAGAAAGTTCTAAACTATTTGTTATCAAATCGAAGAGCGCGCGCTTTAATATTAGCAGAATCTATAGAAATGAACTAAATGAACCACTGGCTTGTTCTATAGTTCAGTTTTATCTGTTGCTCACGCGAACTTATTCTTATGGTTCGATACAATTATACACGTGATACATCATGAGCCAATTCACACATTCAATAAAAGTGCCCACCCAATATAAAGCAACAGCCAAAATATTAAAGGCTGCCATTGAGAAACAAAAATCTATCAAATCGTTGATATTTGAAGAAAAGCATGCGGTTAGTAGTGTGATATTTGGTTCAATTGCCAGGCAGCTAATGAGAGCAACTGAATCTTTTCATATTAACAGCGCGTCCGAAGCCTGCAAGCGGTGCTAAAACATTACAGCGACAACAGAGGAGCCATTGACAACGCTATCGAGGAGACGGGACTGCTGAAAGAAAATCCAAACTTGGACTCCGCACTGGCCAAGGTGCTAGTTACGGAACTCATATTCGGACGCGGACAATTAAACGGAGAAAGCAAACCAGTGCGAACAGTGCGCTCGTACAAGGAGAAATTGCAACAGGCAATTAGCGGCTCAGAGCAGCAGAAGAAAGGCAGGTGCTCAAATATAGACGTAGCTGTAGACCACACAGTATTAATTGGCAATGGGCAAAAAGTCGAAAAAGCAATCAGCGCTTGCCGTTGCCCCAGAGAGTTCAGCTGTGCAACCAGAAAAGTCGGAAGTTGAGCCTAAGCCCGAGGCTGAGCAACAATATGTGGACAAGAGCTTAGAGGTGTTTCTCTGGCTAATGGCATACAGCGTGCTCATGTTTACATTGCCTTTCCTTGGCTTCTATGGGGTGCGCAGCTGGCTGGAGGAATCCTTTCCCGAACTGAGCACATTTCAAGTGAATTGCTACTCTGTGCTGACGGCCGTGCTGGTGGTCAATACAATAGTAGCTATGTATGTATTGAAGGCTGTCCGTGAAAAGGATCCACCTGCATTGGCAATTGAGGATGACGACAATAAGAAGGAACAATAATTTAGTTTAAGCTCAGGCGTAATAAAAGACAGTTTTTGTAACACGTTTCCATGCTTTTCTTTACTTAAACACACAGAGCCCAATCCACGATATGTACGCATCAATACGAATCTGCTCAGTGTCGCCGATGCCCTGGACTACTTGTATGGTGAGGAGTGGCGGCGCAAGCAGCTGGACCCAGACGGCACATATGCTGACTTTCTGGCAGCCATACGGGAATTGGAGGAAGACGAGTTCCTGATGGACATGCATGTGGAGGGAGTGCTGATATTCCATCACAAGTGGAGCCATTACTGGGCCTCCCATGAATTCGTCCACGCCAAAAAGTTCATATTGCAGAACAAGGCCACCTGCCTAGCTGCCGAGCTGCTAGCTCCTCCAGTTGGATCAACCGTGCTAGACTTGTGCGCAGCTCCGGGCATGAAAACTCTACATATTTGCAATGTGATGCACAACAAAGGGCGGATCTATGCCGTGGAGCAATCCAAAGAGCGGTACAAGGCCTTGTGCGACATTACGAACGAGGCGGGCTGCCAGATAGTCACGCCCATACTGGGAGATGCTCTTACTATGGGTCAGTAGAAAACTACGAACGATTCATATTCCATAGCTAACTCATCTTCTCCGACCTTAGATGCCACGAAATGTCCAGACGTCGAGTATATTTTGGTGGATCCCAGTTGCTCCGGTAATGGAATGCAAAGCCGCATCAGCGTCTGTGATGAGCAGAAAGACGACAAACGTCTATACAAACTGGCTGGGCTACAAATCAAGATTTTATCGCACGCCATGAGCGCCTTTCCAAATGTCAAACGTATTCTCTACTGCACTTGCTCCCTTTGGAAGGAGGAAAACGAGCAGGTTGTTCAGCGCTGCCTCCAGCTGAATCCCTCATTCAAGCTTCTCAGTTGCAAGAAGGCGCTACGAAATAAATGGCAGAACGTGGGCGACAAGGAGTACGTTCAAATTGGCAAGAATTGTTTGTATTGCCTGCCTGACTACGATCTGACCGATGGCATCTTCTTGGCCATGTTCGAGAAACGTCCGGATGCTGACAACGAATAGCTCAGCTAGAGGAAAACGCATATAGTATAATTAAGTACTTTATTTGACTCTTTTTGCAGTTAATTTCAACTTCAATTTACATAAACTTTTATTAAACTTAATAGAACATTTTGAACATTCTTTGCATTTTTTTATAAAAAAAGAAAAATAAAATAAAATATACTTTTGTATAACATTTATCGTGATTTATAAGTTTTAAAGATCGCCTCATATTAATAAATATATAAAATGGATATATACTGGTAATGAGCGTTGATACATTAAAAAAAAAGAATATATATGAAACATATAATAAAAATTGTTGTTAATCAATTTTTTGATGTCAAAATTTAAAAACTTGTACTCTGAAAAGTCTGCCATCGAAAATATTCATTGCTCTTTTCTTTAGCATTCAAATTAAACTCTATCACGATTGGCAGTTCGAAATTCAAAGTCTTCAATCCAAAAATAATAGATTAAGATATATCAGACCAATATTGCAGATTATCTGATCGCTAAGTGTCGTTAGCGTTAACAAAAATGCTGGCACAAATCAATAAGCCAGTGTTTAGACATTTTTATCGGCCGCTACGATTCTACAAAAGTTACGATATCGTAAGTAATTTTATAGTTATTGAATTTTATGAAACAAATATGTTTGAAGTTTGAGCGTGTGTTTTGTTAATGATAACACACTAATCTGACCGAAGTGTTTAAAAAAAAATATAATAAAATCGAACGCGCCAGGCGCATTAAATTATCGCTGCTCATCTTTGAGCATTTCAATGTGGATCACGTATACATATATAATAATATAATCGATATATATACATATATAGCTATATATATATAGATTATGTACACGTATGAAAAACTACCAGAGCTTCTCCCACAATTAAACCTTCATTTGCTGCTTGTAGTAATTGCTTTTGGCAAGTCGAAACGACTCCGCCTTAATGGCATCCTCCATTGTGACAATAGGTTTCTTAGGACAGTACTTGATGGTGTGCGCCGAGTCGCCGGATGCCCCACAAATGGGGCATACATAGGTGCGCAGCTTGGGGCACAGCACTCGTCCGTAGGAGTCACGCACCGAATGGCTGTTGACCACAGCTTCCGGTTCATTGTTGTTTTCACAGAAAACACAGTGCCTGGGCACCTGTAGCATGGAAGAAAATACAAAATAATCAGGAACTACGCCGACTATCAAAGATAGCCTTCTACTTACCAATTCCTTGGTCTTGCCATTATTATAGCGCTTATGTAGTTTGTTAGTACTCGCCACGTTCACATTGCTGATATTGCGTACTTGATCCGGGGGCATTGGCTGTCCAACATTAACGTTCTTTTGGGTGCCCATAGCAACTCCTGTAGTGGTTGCCAAGTTCGGCACGTAGGACATGCTGCGCCACACGTTGTTCAGATGCTCGCGGTAATTGTTGAAATTAAGCCAATGGGCAGCAGCTAGTGAGGGCGGCACAAAGGATACCGCAGCCGTCGCCGAAGCCGTCGAGTTACCAGCTGGATATTGTCGTGGCAGAGGCGACGACTGCGGTGTGACTGTATTTTGATTGTTGTACTGAAAGCAATTGAGCTCATCGCTCACGTATCCATTGGATGCAAACTCCTGCATTGCATCTTGGGTCGATGCACTGTTGTTATCTGGGAAGAGGCATAACATTTATTAGCGCCATTTTTTTACTGTCAGCAAACTTCAACATGAATGTCCCGTTGTTGCCGTTAAATGTACTTTCTTTCGAAGACTGTGACTGTACCGTTCCCTCCCATCTATACCTATCCCACTCGCACTCACCTGTATTGCAGGCCGTTAGCAGGGCAAACATTTTTAATGAATGCGCTATCTCATCCTTTTGCTGGTGATTCGCAGCGGCCGCAGACGCAGCCAAAGCCAACTGATGTTTCGCCAAAGCCAACTGCTGCTGCTGCTGTTGCAGCAGTAAGTGATATTGGTACTGGCGCTGCAAGAACAGTGTGCTGGCTGCAGAGGCGTTCATATTTACTTGGTTGCTGTCCGTCAGCAGGGGAAACTGAGTCGAGGACATCGTAGGTTCCGGTGTCAATGGGGTCGTCGGTGGACTCAGAGTTGCCGATGAAACAGGTGGCGAGACGTTCTGCGACGCCGTGTCCAAGTACATATTGAGACCGCCAATACCATGGAAGGGTGCCATATTGTCCTATCGAATAAATACAATTAAATTATTTTCAGATCAAAAGCCATCTACGACTTGCAATGGCGTCCACTTACCATCGGTATACTGCTTTCCAGGCTGTTGCCGCTGCGAAACATGATAAATGCCAAAAACAATGTCTATTGGAATGTAGACAAGTACAAAGTGCCGTTATTGCGCTTTTCGTTTTGCACCAATTCTTTCCCACATAAAATTAAGCTAAATTGTTTCTTTTATTATTATTTCTTGGTTGAAGTATATTTATGCGCTACTTCTTTAATATTTAATTATGATTTAACTTAACTTCACGGTTTAAACTGGCACAAAATTATAATAAATTACTCAAAATTAAAAGATCAGCAAGTGGCGCCAACTACAAAAGCAAATATATGAGTGAGAGTACATACTATTGTGTTCGCTTTAATTCCTGGAAGTCTTCGGCTAAGCTCGGCGAAATAACGGTTTGAATCGGCGCAATACGCTCAGAGCGTTGCCACATAGTCTCCGAAATGGTAGGCGAAAAGGGAATTGACAAAATACTAAAACAGAGCAACCAAGATATACACATCAATTCATTATTTAATACATCGGTAGTTGTGGCGACAATAACCCGCCATAATTCAATAATTACGATTGCTGCACATACACCCACCATCGTCCCATTGAATACAACAATTCGCACTCCGCTAGCGACCACATACGTTCCACAGCACTGTACTCGTCATTAGCCAACACTGCACGCTCCAAACAGCTGACACTCAGATTCTTATACGTGCGTGTTTCACGGTCCGAATTACATAAATTCGTTGCGATTGACGTGAGTTGCCCAAGCATTCCTTGCATAGCAAAAGTCCGGAAAATCTCCACGCAGCAGCAATACCTGTCACAATGGTAGGTTCATACATTATAGTTAGTATATTGCCGTCAACAGCAGGACTGCTCTATACATGTGACCGTTTAGAGGTTAAATTTGGCTCGGCTGTAGCCTCCCGTCGTGCTATCTCTAATTTATAAAACCGCTCTTTCATTGCAGTACAAATTGGCTGCCTTAGCGCGCGAGCGCGCATGTTTCATTACGTATCAATTAGCTAGCTACAACCTGCAACAACAACCGGTGAGTATCCAACAATTTAGCTTTTTAGCTAGAGTCAAGATCTGATGTAGCCTATTGTTCGCCCGACTTATAGCAACGGCTCTATAGCTCACCTGGACGCCGGCCTGGATTCTTTTCGCAATTCATTGATAATGTGCGGAGTGAAATGGACAAGAACAAAGAGATGAAGGATAGTATAAAAAAGTTTCGCGAGGAGGCGCAAAAATTGGAACAGTCAGATGCGTTAAAATCGGCGCGGCAGAAATTCAACATGGTTGAATCCGAGGCGCAAAAGTCTTCCAACATATTGAAAGAGCAATTGGGTGCCATCAAGGAAAAGGTTGGCGATGTTCTTGACGATGCCTCCAAATCGGACTTGGCCAAGAAAGTTTCTGAAGAGCTCTCCAAAACGGCGAAGGGTGTCACCGATACTATTACGGATACCAGCGGAAAATTGGGACAGTCTGGCGCCTTCCAAGCCATTTCCGATACAACGAACTTAATCAAAAAGGAAATGAATGAGACGAGCATAGAAAATCGCGTGTATTGCTCGCCCGTGAAGTTGCGAAAACGCGTTCAAGTAGATCTGTCCGATAGCTCGCGGGTTGTGGAGGCAAATACGGAAGCATTAGGTAAGGCAATTAACTGAATTTGCTTTGAAATTTAATAATGATTTACTTTGTAGGCTTGGAGCTTCACAAGGACTCGAAGTTCTACCAGTCGTGGGAGAATTTTAAGAACAATAATACGTATGTAAATAAAGTACTTGATTGGAAAGTAAAGTACGACGAATCGGAGAATCCTGTCATTCGAGCATCCCGTCTGCTCACGGACAAGGTATCCGACGTGATGGGCGGTCTGTTTTCAAAAACCGAGCTGTCTGAGACGATGACCGAACTAGTCAAAATCGATCCGAACTTTGATCAGAAGCAGTTTTTGCATGATTGTGAAAAGGACATTATTCCCAATGTTTTGGAGGCCATTGTGCGAGGGGATCTGGAAATTCTAAAGGACTGGTGCTTCGAGAGCACGTACAACATAATTGCAACGCCCATAACACAAGCGAAAAAGGCCGGCCTGTATTTGGACTCCAAGATCCTCGACATTGAAAACATTGAGCTGGCCATGGGCAAAGTCATGGAGCAAGGACCCGTGCTGATAATCACGTTCCAGGCGCAACAAATCATGTGCGTGAGGGATCAGAAGGGCCAGGTGGTCGAAGGGGATCCGGAAAAGGTAATGCGCGTGCATTACGTGTGGGTGCTGTGCCGTGATAGAAACGAGCTCAATCCCAAGGCCGCTTGGCGACTGATGGAGCTGTCGGCCAACAGTCAGGAGCAATTTGTTTAAACGTGCTGCACACAATTTACCACTAAGCAGTTTAAGTTTCTCATCATCCCAGACACTAGACAGACAAACGACAGACACTTCTACTTTAACGTAGCAGTTGGTTTTCATTTTCTTCATGTGTGCAAAAGTTTCGCTCTTATACTTCTACTACTTCGAAGATTATTTTGCCAACTGCTGGTCGCGTGCTTCTGCCCAGCCAAGCCGGGGCTGCTGGTCGGTTTCCTAGCTTATCTGTGATGCAGTAGATTGCTGGCTTGGCTATGCACCTGGCACGCGGCTCTGACGGACTACGGTCATCGTCGGCCACGCTACACCCTGACCGCCCATTCATGGCGCTATATATGTTGTATATTTTATCCTATCTTGTAAGCTGTATATTAAACCGTGAGCTTGGGTGCTCAGAGTGCGGCGTGGCCGGCGGCGCTCGGAGGCCGCAAGTGATTGGCCCAAATTTAAATGTTGAAGCTGAAAGTGCAAGCAATTTGTAATTCTTAAGTTAAATTGTTGAGTATAGGAGATTTGTTAATACTTTTAAGGCCAGCCTATGCGGACATCTTAGGCATAGAGATAAATTCACTGTACCGAATAGCTGAAACTAAAGAGCCACATTCATCAATTAACACTTATTATTTGTAAAATCATTGCTACACGTTTTAAAAGTCTAGCATATTTAATAATAAATACAAAAGTCTTTGAAATACACTCAATTGTATTGTTTTTGATATTTTAATTATAATATACATAGGTTCTCAAAATATACAAAATGAAATGTAGGTACGAAATGTACCATTAATTTATCAACATTAATGTTGATTATGAAAAGCCAGAAATGTTAAAGTTAAATTCTAAAACAGCTTAGCTATAATAAATATAAAAAAACAAGTAATTTTGTATAATAAATTAAAACAAGTATACTTATAATAATAAAGAAAAAGTACCAGTAAATTGCAACGGATGTGGCAACGCTTTTGAACTGTTTTTTTTTTTTTTACAAAATAAGTACTCTTTCGTACGCTTTATTCATTTAACTTGAACTTGACGTACGCTCTCTTTCTCTCGCTGTCTCTCTGTCTTTCGTTCTCAAAAGCTTTTTTAGTGCAGACCAACGAAATCAACACTGTGCGCTTGTTCAGTCTTTAAACGGAACTCATCGTGAGCGCACGCGCAAAAACTTTCCGGGCTTAGAGTTCGGGAATGATCGAACAGTGTTTTATGTTTAAATAATTGGAAGCTAAATATCCCAAAGCTTACTCACCTAGCTAATAATCAGCTGACGCACCTGACTGAATATTATTTAATTTACGAGCGAGTGATAAGCGAATTAATTAACGATTGATAAAAAAAAGTTTTCAGACAAGTCAAACGAAAATGCGTGTCAGCAGCGGTAATACATTCTGCAGTCTCTTGCTTTTGGCGCTTCTGACGACGGGTTTCTGTAAGTACATAAACACACACGCACACACATATATGTATATATGTATGTACATACATCAAGGCATAGACAGATAGCCAAGGCACACTTAAAATATCCACACAGCGTCGCAGTATTTATTTTGCCACTCTTGCATTATCTGGAAACTAGTTTCCAATGCAGCTGGAAGGCTGGCCAGAGGCAGATACTCCCGATCTTACCTTTTGCCTTCCACTTTAACGTTAACGGGTCTCTGATGCAGGTCCAGTTTGCAAGCCCAGTTTACAGCGCATAAATATGGCTTTTTATTATGCCAATTCAGTCGGTGGCCAAGAGCCCAGAGCACTTAATATCAAGGTCGCACTTATAAAACTCATATATTTAGAGATGTTATGTTATGTGTAACTGCGTGCTTTGGCTTCCTTAAAAAGTTGCCCTCCTATTAGCCTGATAAGATAATGTTCGCGATTCTGATGACATGTACTGCCTATGATAAGCAATTGATTCATGCGTAATGTATTTTTATTTTTTTACCATGCTATTTTCTTACAGTTACTATTCCTCATTAGTAACTAAACAGTATTTATTCAAGGCCCACAAATGTACATATTGGGGGCAACCTTTATTTGAATTATTCGCAAACCTTAATTTCTCCACGCGTTTTCGGGGCGATTTATGCGCGTCTTATGTGTTTCGCATGCCAAACAGACTTGAGAAACAAACGCGACTTTATTATTAGGAATGTGTTTATTTGCTTGTGTCATCTAATATACAAAAGTATATAGAAACATATGTATATATGTATGAATGTGTCTGGTACATATGGACTGGTTTCGTTATTAAGCTTGCCGGTTGAGTTTGTCGGCTCTGCACGTTTCTTTGTTTGCCCAAAAGCATCTCCATTAAAAAAAGGCCAGTCTCTTCTGAGAAGTCAGAGCTCAGAATATGTTTCTAGGCAAGATAAATATTTAGATTGGCCCAATAAAAATACATATGTAGGTGCGAATTGTTTTAGAGTCGCACAAGTTGTGCAAATATTTATAAGCTGTCTGTGGAAGAGTTGCCTTCCAAGGAAAATGCCATGACCAAGTAATTTTTATTTATTTATTTTTTTTTTATGTATAATTATAAATCTTGATCTTTTCTGCTTAATTGCGTTTCTTACAGCTCATGCCAAACCCTTGGAAGAACCGAAGAAAACTGACACCGAGCTAAGTGATTCGAATGGGCAGGCAGCCAAAAATAAAACAGCTGTCAGCGCTGGCGAGGAGGTAAGCTAATCCCTAAAGAGACCCCGAGTAACTGGGACACCAAAGTCACACAAAAGACCGGCCTCAAGTGAGGTGCCTGAATGCCTGACTGACTAACTGACTAACTGTCTGTCTGTCTGGCTGGTTGACGGAGCGGCAGACACAGCTGAAATGTAATGTGATATGATGGCTATGCAGCTCGGCCGGTTTATTATTAAAACAGAACCGGAAATTTACGCTTTTAAGACATTTTTTATTTATTTTCACTTTGATTAAATGCGAAAACCGCAATAAAGACACGCGCGCGCCGCTTGCCTTATAAGGCTCAAACGCACGTTACGACCATTTGCATGAAATTAAAAAAGAGAAAAAGAAAAACAAAGCTGAAGAAGTCTCCGATGAGGGTTTTTAGCGTCTTAGTCACGAAATTCCATAAAAAATTGAGTTATAATTGAACGAGACAATGTGGATACCCCAAATGCTTCCACCTGATCAGCGAGCTTTGTCGTCATGGCTATGACTCAGCCTAAGCTCAAAGCCAACAGCCCAGAGCCCAGTGCGAATCGCTTTAAAGCCGCATTCTAGGTAATTTCTGTGACGTCTCAATGCCGCATTCTTGGCTAAACAAACTAAAGTTTGAGGCGACTCGCATGCGATTTCACCTGTTCAAATAGCGGATCACTTTCCACCCATAAAATATTCTATTATTTTTATTGCAGCTTATGATAATATTTTGTTATGGCTGTCGCTACTGAATAATTGAAGCGCGTCTGTAGAGAAACATGATCTGGAAAACTGAATAATGACAAGTCACGTAGCAGCATTTGTTGTCGAGAACCAACAAGTCGACTTTATTCAATTACAGATCTGACCAGACCAGACCAGACCTGATCTGTTCGCTTTAACTTACAACCTCTGGGTCAGTCGAAGGCCTAGAGAATAGAATATGTTATACAATCCGAATGCGAAATCGCAACATGCAACGTGTTCCTAATAACAGCAATCATCCATTTGCTTAAGTTCAAGAGTTAACGATACTTGGAAAGGAAAAATTGCAATTATATATGATACATATTTGAAATGTTTTAGTTCAAGGCTTACCGACACTTGGAAAGGAAAATTTCAATTATATATAGTTCATATTTGAAATGTCGAGCTCTTTCACTTCCGTACCAGCATATTATTAATCAGAGTACATATTTGGAATATTTAACGACTTAATATTTTATAAAAATCTCAAAGGTTTGATATAATATACTTTCTTATGCAATTCAGCTAATAAAATACAAAGTTCTTTAATAGAGTAAACATTAAATAAATAAGTTACCAAGTCACGCCATTGGGCGTGACTAATCTGGAACATTTATACTTGATACTACAAATAAAGTGAAATTAAAGCCTCAGGTCTTTTTGGAATTTTAACCGCTTAATCGCGAATATCAACCCTCCGGATGTGAATGAGTCACCATTGATAATACCCGCATATATGTATGTGTAAACCTTTTAACTGATTTGGGGCATAAACAGGAACTTGTAATGAGCTGCTCGAGTGGTGAATTAATTAATTCAATTTAAAAACAATTTGTTGCCAAGATTGTGACGTCAAGTTGTGAAAACTGATCGAGCATAAATTATATGGCGGGCAAACCATTGAAAATGTTGAAATTGAAATTTACTCACGTGCCAACGTCGACCCACATGCAGACGGACAGACAGACAGACATGTGTACGCCCAAATTGATATGCCTTGCTTCGTTATAAAAGGGTATCTAACGGTTCTATTATTTTTGTATTTGTAGCTAAAAACTGCAACGAATTTGGCGCTTGCTGGCAACTATAAATACGACGTGGAAATACTTGAGTCTGGCGACAACGAGGATGAGGATCGGGATAGCAGCGAGGAGCTGGAGGAGCGTTTCAAGGGCCACGGCATATTTAACACGGACACCGATACTTTCATAGCTGAAAATATTGAGATGACGCCCGTGAATGTGGAGTCGAGTGCCATTAGCGAGAGCCACATGCTGCTAAGCATTGTATTGGTCGTCGTGGCTTTGGTCTCGGTGTGTCTATACGCCGGACTCGTTATATGGAGATCGCACCTGGAGTACGTAGCACAAGCCTTTTAATATTGTATTTGTACGATTCTCTAATCTATGATCTCTTCTCCAGGCAACGCTATGGCATGCGCGAGAGACTCGTTAATCGAGATGTGGACGAGGAGGGCGTTGACGACCCGGACTTTCATGTGACATATCCTCACACACTGAGCCCCTACGCGCCAACAACAACGACAGCTACGACGCGATCGTAGTCTGATGTGGATATTTGTGTAGGATGAGATTCATTAGCGCTTAATTATATTTTAAATTGCACTTGATAGCGTCGCCTGCATTCAAACACCTGTGCGTGTGTGAGTGAGAGGTGAACGAGGGTTTTGTGTGCATTGTCAATTAACTAACACATACATAATCGCGCATTAAATAACAATACTAAAGTTCATCTTAGAATATGAGGGTCGCTGAACTGTAAAAAGTTTTCACCCGCAGTTGGACATGCCAATTAGTTTTAAGCTTCTGTGATATTGTTCTAGAGACTCTTTTTATATTAACATCATGCTCAGAGTCAGAAACTAAAGTATTTAATAAAAAAAAAAAAAAAACATAAATTTTAAAAAGGTGCATTAAACGAAATCAAAATCAAATTTATCTAAGAGATTATTTTTGAAATTACTGAAATAAATAATTAAACTTGCTCTTTTGCGTGTACAGACTCAGTTTTGCGTAAATGGGCGCGTCACCTGTTAAATAATAACATAACTGTAGGATTACAGGGCGTATACTGTATGCAAAGTTATTTGCAGATTGTGTGGAAAAAAATACACAGAAATATATTTATACGGCGATTGTTTAGTTCACAAGCTTGTATCAAAAAAATAATAATGTATCGTAAATAACTTTGAGTGGAAAATTCCTGTTAACATATGTGCTCCTCTTTTGCCCCAGCTACTCCACAGCTAACAGACTCATGCAACAGCTGTTTTTCTTAGCAATTTGCACTTTGAACTTGTGCTTGTTTCGTCAAAGTGTGTCAAACTTGAATACGCGTGTTTCGATCTATATATCTGCACTGGTGGTGTTTGCCCTAAATTGCCATTCAATACTCTCTGCTTGACTCAACATAAGGTGCGCGCTCTTAAGCTATAAAGTAGGTAGAATGCTGCAACTGTAATACTAACCGGCAACAGGGGCAACATTTTGCCACAGTATGAAAGTGTTCTAAGGCAACTCGTATTCTCATCGGTATGACTGTTAATTGGCAGCTCTGTTCGATGTCTGCTTCTTCACTCGCACAGCTGACAATGGACTGTAGCGTGTTATTGCTCTTCTATCGCACTTGCTTCGAACATTTGTCCCCCAGAATGCACAAGTCCTCGCGCAACCGAAGCAGCCACGAGAGAAGCTGGACCCCTCTCGTATATTTACTTAGTTTATGCTGCCGTTCGAATACGAACGCGATTGCGAATGCGAATGCGCACTCTAGTCGAACAGTTTCATTGATAAGAAAGCAAGTGAAAGTCTCTCGGCAGAGACACGAGAACGTCCGCCAGTACACAATTGTCCGTCGCTGTCGCTGCAGGCAGAGCATTGCGTAGAGCAGCGTGAAGTGTGTGCAGTGTGAAGTTTGTATCCGAATAGTGCGAAAGCTCTGACGCGCTATCCGTGTAGCTGTAGACGCGGCTTGCAGCACACGTTGTGCTGTAATTAATTTAGTTGCGTGGCTTAATTTTGTTGCCGCTGTTGTCGCTTTGATTGTTCAAGTTGCCGTTCGCTTTTTAGCAGTGTATGCCTGTGTGTGTGTCCGAGTGTTTATCCCTGCTGCTGCGCGTGCATGTGTGTGTGTATGCGTGGGCGCTTTTGTATCAATTAACGGTATAAGCAAGGCATCGTTTCCGACGCTATTGTTTTTGTGCTTCCTTGCGTGCTTCCTTCACCCGTAGCTCGAGCCCGTGCCCGTGCCAACGGCAGTATTTAGACAACATCATCAGCAGGCAAACGACAGGAAAACAGCATCATGACGCACTGGGAGGACTTCTACAATACACATCTGCCGCCCGCAGACTTCGAGGATAATCGTTCGCTGCTCAAGGAGTTCTGCGAGCGACACAATAAGCTCCAGAACCGCATTGTGCTCGTCACGGTAAGCACTCGCTAATCCCAGCCCTCTGCCTGACGACAGCTCCAATCCCCATTAAGCCCCCGTTAATCAGCTGACCAGCCCCATTTCTAACCCGCAATCCATATCTTTCGCACAGTCGGGCGGCACCACTGTCCCCCTGGAGCACAATACGGTGCGCTTCGTAGATAACTTCAGCGCTGGCACGCGTGGTTCGGCGAGTGCCGAGTACTTCCTGGATCATGATTATGCCGTTATCTTTATGCATCGCCACAAATCCCTGGAGCCCTTCACGCGCCACTTTACCGGTCAACAGTTCTTCGACATGCTCGACATAGCGGACAACAGCCAGAGCTCCACGATTGCCATTAAGCCAGACTCGGTGGATGTGTTTGCGCCCGTACTGGCGAAATACAAGATTGCGCGCGAGACCCAAATGATTCTCTACGTCAACTTCACCAGCGTCGTCGACTACATGTGGCTGCTGCGCGCCGCCTGTGAGTGCCTGGCTGCGTTCGAGGAGCGCGCCGTGTTATATTTGGCCGCTGCCGTATCAGATTTCTACATACCCGAGGACATGATGGTGAGTCGAACCGATGGCACGGTTGGTCATATGGGAAATCTTGTAATTGATTGCACTCGTCATTCAATGACTGGCGTCGCCATTGCCCATCGCCAGTCGCCAGTTTCAGTGGCCTGTAAATTGCTTTTTATCGATTCGCCATGTTGATTGTGGGCTCTGGGCTTGACATATTTTCTCTGCACATATTTGACGTCAGCCCCAGTAGGAGCAGCAGCTGTAGCAGGAGTAGTGAGGCTCGGGAACAAGGGAGAGCAGCTGTAAGGGATAGAAGAAGGAGCAGCAGAGGCAGTAGTAACAAGACTCGGGAGCAGTCGGCAGCAGCTGTAGTGGGAGTAAAAGAAGTAGGGTCAACTATATTAGAAGTGACTGAGGGAGCAGCATCTGTAGTAGTAGTAATAAGGCTCTGGAGCAGTCGACAGCAGCTGGTGTGGAAGTACCAGCAGGAATAGCAGTAGCAAAGCTGCGAAGCAGTGACAGCCACTATAAGGAATAGGAGGAGGAGCAGCAGAGGCAGTAGTAACAAGGCTCGGGAGCAGTCGGCAGCAGCTGTAGTGGAAGTAGGAGAGCGAGCAGCAGTAGGGATGCTCGAGAGCAGTCAACAGCAGCTTAAAGTCAACTATTGCTCCTGACAAGCTGTTCCCTTGCATCAGCATCAGATGCCTGTCAACGGCAGAGACTTACATAGTCTGCTCCCACACCGACGCCCAGATACATGGCTGTCTATCCTATCTATTGGCGTCCTTGCAGCAGCCTTTCTACTGTCATCGTGTCTTTAATTTGATTTGCATAATTTTGCTTGTTATGTGACCATGTGGCCATGTGGCATGTTGCATGTAACCACTTCCCATCCACTGCCCAGTCAGTCTTCATTTTCATTTCACTGTTACACTGATTTACATGTTCATGCAGCTTTCGTTTGCATCCTTTGCCTGACATAGTCTACCTGCCCCTTTTACCTGCATCCACCACAATCGTTCTGCCTGTCCACCTGTCTCCTCCATTTGCTGCTCTACCTCCCCCTCCTCCCCCTTCGCTGCCTGTCAGCTGACTCTGTAGCGCTCACATATTCAGGTGCTCAACGGCAAAAGGTTTTCAAGTACATGCATCAAACCCTCATTGCTGGAGGCGTTCGTCGTCGCGCCGCTAACTGCTTGCAATTTTCACCTACTCTACGCAAACATACAGACAGTGAAATATAGTATATACATATATTTATGTAGATGTGCAGGTGATGCAAGCGTTGGGGCAGGTAAACGGAAAGTTTTCCACTTGTCGCCCACCTTTCGGTCGTTCAGCCTCTCAGCTCCTCCGTACTGGCATTTGCAACGCTCTATTTCCGTTTAGCTCGTGCATTTCCGCTCGGCCTCATGCTTGAGGCGCTCCCCGCCGTGTCAGTGTGTGTGGTTGTTGCTCTCGTGGTTGCTGGGGCGTTAGCCACAAATCGTTCGCTTGATTGAATTGTTGAATGTGCTCGGCAAACCCTTCGTCTGGCTCCTCCCAGCCCCATGATGAATATAGCCCGATGATGTGTGTACATTGAAATTTATGCGCATATCTTAGGCTAAGCTCTACCCTGGCATTCTAGCGAAGGTCCTTGCTGCCTGACAGCTGATTTGTCAACAGAAATGCGCATAGTTTGCATAATACCCGAGTGCATCCACACAGGATTGCCTGTGCCACAACCACAAGCTCATCCAAACGGGGCTTAAATATCACTTGGATACATGTGCGCTAAGTGGAAAACAGAAACGCCGTCTTTCACCTGAGAATTCCTTAAAATGTTTACAGTTCAGTTAGCACTTGCACGAGCGTTTTACAGCCACTTGCTTTTCCAGGCCCAAGGACAGCATTTAATTTCGCTAAGGCAAAACGCCTTCCACCTTAAAGTAAATTTATGCAAATGTGGCAAACAAGTTGATGTTTCGTAAGGATGTTGTGGGGGCAAACACCGTTGCTTAAGTAAATTCTAATAAGCCAAAAACAACACGAAGAAATTATAAATGTAAACTACACGAACAGAATAAAGCCAAGACAAAGTAAGCAAAGAGTGAGAGTAGGAGCGAGCGAGAGAGAGAGGGAGATGGATGGCATTAACACTGGGAGCAAACAGAGAAGGCAACGTGCTCAAATCCTCAAATCAAATCAAAAGATTTTACAAGAGCACGCATGAACGCACATAAAGAGACAGCGACTTATACAGTTATTCTGAGACACTATTACTCACTAATACACACACCCACACGGACAGTCAGCGATTTGGTGGGTACAATGACACAGCCTCAAAGCACAATGAGTGCGAGCGAGTGAGCAAGCGAATCTGCAAGGGAAAGGGAATCTGAATAAGTAACCAAATTCAATGTCAACAGCTGTTGGCAGTTCTTAAAAGCAAGCACAACAAGTAAGAGCCGTCTAGCTCGAGTCAGCGCGACAATGGGAAACCCTGTAAATTGTTGCTTCTTCAAGTATTTTGCTTAGAATAGCAAAATAGAATAGAGTAAACTCTTTAATGTCTTTGTTAAAACTAGAATATGATACTTGAGACGGAGTTATCGGATTCTATGGGATACATGTATGTGTATGTGTATATACATACATATATGCAAATGAGTTTTGTTTCTCAGAGAAAGTTCATTTAGTTCATAGTTCGAATTGATTTCATCATTTACATCATAACTAGATAAGCTTTCTATAAGAGAGAGTCGACTGCGACTGCGACGACAACGACGGCGACTGCGACAGCGACAGCGACGTTGACGTTGGCGTTGCGCAATTGTCAATGTCGCTTTGGTTCGTCTTCGTTGTCAGGCTTAATGCCTTGCAGCTAGGCTTTTCATTTCGCTCAGCCGCCGCACAATGTCCTGGCTACTTAGCTTCGTCCTTCTAGCTGTCCATCCTGGCTGTCTGAAAACTGCTTTGTGCGCG